AGAATTGCATCAAAAGGTTTTGGTGCAAATGTTGGTCAACCCTCAAACCTCATTTAAACCACCTAGTCTAAGATGGCAGGGGAATCCTAGTATCAGTGGCACCCAGCTTGAAGGTTAAAGGTAAAGGATGCTTGGACAACAAAGATCAAAGGGAAAAGAGATTGTCATTTAGTCTATCTTAGGCTTGCCTTTTAGTCTACCATGATTTTTTTTTCTGTTTTGTATGCAGCCATTCTATATATGGGATAGTAAATGTTGGCATCATTCTCTTGTGTTTTGCGTGGAGCTATTATATGTAGATTTGCCTTGATTTCTTTTGTGTTTTCGATGCAGTTATTCTGGCATGGCTAAGGGATTTAGTAGTGTCCTCATTAGAGACTTGACTATGTTATAATTTGATAACTATTTTGATTAATGTTGTTATCATGTTGGCTAACCTTTAAAGGTTTATTGTTCATTCTTCTATTTTCACAGCAATTCTATAGTTCAATTTAAAACCTTCATAAATGCATAATAAATACAAGCATTGGTAGATATGCCCATTTCAATTTTTCACAATAAATGCATAAGGACACAATTTTTCTTACAAATTTCCAAATATTCAATGGTTCTAATCAATATAATCCTCAATGGTTCCAAACGAAATGTTAAAGGGTCCACATGCCCGTTACAAAAAAGATACTACATTCATATAAACAAGCAACAACTAAACAACTTATGTACATTAGGTATTTTTCTACACAAGCCAATTCAACCTAAGGAACACCCGACATAATATTAAAGCACCCATTGCCATTTTCAACTTCTTCATCTCATCCAACCCCCGTATAATGCCATTAATCTCTACTTTGTGACCTTCTTCCTTTGCTCTTCTTCATGTATGTAGCCCTTTATTCTCTTCAGTCAATCTTTCAATGGTAACTTCCTCCAACCTTTCCTCCATCTCATAGTCTAACCATGAGAAAAAAGGCATCCACCCTAACATTCATACTTGACACTCAATGCCCAGAGCAAACAAACTCAAATCAAGAGAGATTAGTGCTAACACATACTAATTGTAGTTTTTACATCCAAAAAACCTTCTTCTAGGATTATTCCCAATTCATGATGTCCACCTCGACATAATTTTTCCACATAAACAGTACCTCAATGGAGGTAGGTGGTCCACTTTCCAACTCCTTGAGTTTTTAATGCGACCTTCAATTGATACCTGACGAAGAACCTGTGGAATCACCCATCGAACTTGCTCATGACATTATACTCATCTCTAACAAGTAGCTTGTACTTAATCTAAGATTGAGACAAACATAAAAGATGGTCTATGGTCTGCTTGAGCCTTTGATAGTTTGACTTAAATGCCTTAGTACTACTCTTTTTTTCCTTATTTTTTTCCTTCTCCCAAAGCCAAAATGCCACGTAACATAGTTAAAACAACTCATCTGTCAACTCAACTAGTGATCCAGCATACATGGCTTGCCAAATGTGCAAAATCGTAGGCCCCATAAACCCACAAACAGTCAAAATACATTACTAAAAGATAGGATAATGAAGCAAAGAATCTTTGAGATTGAGGGATATACATACCTCATAATTGAGTTTAAGATCATTTGTCATCTTTTGTGTATAATTTAAAGACAAAAATAATCCTTAACCTAACCAAATATAATAGATCATCAAATCTCTCTTTTATTTTAGTACATGTACAAATATTTCTTATAGAAAAGAAAAAAAAACATAGTAATTTTATTAAAATTTAAGAGAATATTTATTTAATATTAAATTATATAAAAATGAAGAACATTTCCGTGCGTCACATTAATTTCAATCAATCTCAGAGAAGATTTTTATAATTTACTTTTCATTTATAAAATAAAGTTGTGAGAATTCTAAAAGAAAAAATATATAATCTTAATTAAAAATTTAAAAAAAAACTATATAATCTCTACATCAGTATAGATATATATATATACACATATGGATGGGATGGAGAAGACTGTGAGAAGCAAGAGCAATATGAAGAAGAGTTGAGATTTCTTCAGTGCCATCTTTTGATTGTTTACAAGCTTCTTCATATTTTCGCTCATTCAAAGCAAGTCAATTTATACACATAGTCATGCACTAGAGAATCGCTTTATTTTTAAATAAAAGTGTAATATTCACTGTTTGATGCCATTGTCTTTAATCTCTTACTATTTAGTCCGAACAATTTTTTTCTTTAATTCTTTTCCTTGTTTATTTTTCCACCCTATTCATCAATCCATTAATCATTGCACTAAAAGAAACGATCCGCATAAAGAAAATAATTAAATCAATGCAACAAAAATAATTTAAATAATTCATATATACAATAATATATATAATCTCCAAAATTTTCTTGAATTCATCCAAGGTGAAATTGTCGATTCAACAACACAAACACGCATATTGGTGACAGTCCCGTACATGCATGAATCACTTTTGAAATTGCAGATGATTGGGTAAACTAATAAATCCATATCTTATTTTATATTGAATATCAAATACATTCATTGACCTTTTTGTTACATTATGGCCCAAAAAATTTTAATTTTCAGATGAGTTTGGAAGTTATAAACTATATATATTATATGAATTATTCAAATTAATTTTGTTGCATTGATTTGTTTCGCTTCGTTCATTCCTTTTAGTTGAAAGTTATCATGGGTTGGATGAGTAGAGTGAAAGAATAGACAAGAATAAAACATTGAGAGAGTTACAATTAAGTGTTAAATAAGAAAGTTAATTATTTTTAATCTGATTTCTACATTAAATTTCAATATTCACATGGTAAATTTCAACATCTACATGTGCCTATAGAACATGTGTGAATAATTAATTTTTGTATTTGGGACCTGCATGTATTTTTTTTCTAAAATAATATGTTCAAAGAATCTAAATAAAAATCATTCCATCCCACTTCAAATTTGAAGATACTTTATATTTAAATAACAACTATTATGTATAATCATGACAATAAAACGTTATCAAACTTAATAAAGAAAGATGATTCAATAAATCTAAATAAATAATTAAAAAAATTAAAATTCATTTTATCCTTCCCCACTTTAAATTTGAACATGTACTTAGGAAAAACAATTTTGTGAGAAATTTTTGCACAGATCCATGCGCCACATCATCTATGATATATCCAATAAAAACATGATTCATTGCATAATCATGATTCGTGATGATAGGATTTTATCAAAAATTAATAAAGAAAGATGTTCATAGGAAATCAACGTTCGAATTATGTACCTTAAGTTAGTTGCAAAAGAATGGTAATGAAATCTATTTAAACAGTAAAATATTATATATTTATTGAAAATTATTAAATGCTATTAATCAATAATGTGATTATAGAGTATATGGTTCTGTGTATAAATTGACCTGTCCTTCCTTTTGACTTGAATGAAGAAGCTTAACAATCACAAGATGGCACTGAAGAGGCCTCAACTCTGCTTCACATTGCTCTTGCTTCTCACTGTCATCTTCATCCCATCCTTAGGTATATCTATGATAATTTACAGATTGAAGAACACTTATAAGAACTTTGTTAAAATTGTTTGATTGTTCCTTGAAATTTACCCAATTTTATTTTAAAAATGAAAAGTGAACTATATTAATCTCCTAGGATGATTTTTAACATTACATAAATTTTTGTATTCATATTTTTTTTCAAAAGCATATACACATAATTTTCTCCTGAGATTCAATAAAATTACCATGTTTTTTTTCTTTTTAAATGGAATATTTGTGCATGTTGTAAGAATAAAAGAGTTATTTAATGATTAGTTAGATGAATTTGATTTCAGCACAGGAGAACGGAGAAGAATGCAAAGTGAACGGAGATTGTGATCCAAACGGACGATGTAATTATTTGTGTCCACGCGGGACTAATGTCTGTTACTTTGATTCCAACCTTCACACAAACCGTTGCCGTTGTTGCTATGAGATTTCTCCTCCTCATTACTTGCCCTAGTCATCTCTCTTTCTCATGTGAAGAATATGTTTAAAAACTTCGACTTTGTGATCCTATACATATATCCTATGCAATAAAAGTTATTATGATTTATATGTGAATATTTATACTCTTCTCTTTTCATTGATAAACAAATTAAATTAATTACATAAAACACTATAAGTTATGAAAATGAAAAAGGAGAAGAAAAGAGGGAGACATAAAAGAAATTAAATTTGGATTCCAAAAGAAGTAAAACATGTCTGACATGAACATCAAAAGGTGAGGAAATTTTGTAGTTAGTTGTTATTCAGGGCATGTTTGGATGAATGCTTTTCCATTGCAAATGCTATCACAAAACTGAAATGAGATATGAAAATTAGCGGTGATCTTTTTTTTTTATCAGTAAATTCTCTCGCTAAAATATTTTTGACAATTTAGTGAAGGCATAGCAATGAAATTTATAGCAGTAGAATTTTTCATCATTAAATTTCGTCACTAAAATGATGACAGAATTTGAGATGGATTAGCAATGAATAATCTGTTGCCAATTGTCTAAGTTAGTTCTAACCAATTTGCATTGGGGTCACAAAATAAAAGCAATACAACTTATTCCCTCCGTTTAAAAATGTAAGGCATTTTTTAAAGAGTTGGATGTTCAAAAATGTAAGACATTTTTAATCTTTTAATGTATAATCATTACCTTTTTTTTTAAGTGCCCCTATTGATAATGAATTTATATTTATTGTAGGGTGTTTAATAGGGATAAATATGAAAGGACAGGATTAATTGAAAAGTAAATAACTATTTTATTGGAGGTGAGATTCAGTTAAAAATGCCTTATATTTTTTAACATAGGGAATATTATTTAGGCTTCATATAATAATGGGGAGCACACGCAAAGGATTACCATTAAGATTTGACAATGTTTAAATATGATTAAATCATCAGTGACATCAGATATCACATTGAAATCAAAAAAATCAAATGTAATGCTGATAAAACAAGTTCAGATTTAAATATATAGCAGTAACTGGTTGTTGTATATATTTGAAATAGCAGTGTATTATTAATAATAATTAGATGGAATTGGAAACGGTTAAAGATAATGAGAGATGTAATTTCGTTGATAAACGTTCAAGAATTGAATGACAGCCTTGGCGGTGTTGGTAGCAGCAAGAGATCCAAAGACCTTGATTTGATTTTCTCCTTCTTGCGCTCCTGCTAAATCTGACAGTCCTCTTATCACTATCACCGGATAATCATTTGACAAACTTGTCTGCAAAAATTGTGATCTCAGTCACATAAATACTCAGCATGAGAACTATGAAGTAATTAGAGAGAGAGAGAGAGAGAGAGAGAGAGAGAGATGATACCATGACGATAGCAGAACTCTCCATATCAAGAGAGGAAACATGGAATGTTTGGAAGAGGAAGTCCCTGTACGCTGCATTGTCCACAAATGCGTCTGCCGTTGACCCATTCAGTCCCACAACGAGCTTTGGTTCGTTTGGTAGGCACAAGCTTGAGTTCACACATCTTTCTAGCTTCATTCCCTAAACATATATGTATGAAACTTTTATTTAACACTATCATACTGACACACATGTAAAAGAAAAAAAAAATAATCCTTTACTCTTTGTAATTTTGATTGGATTTTAAATAATTTAAAAAATATAATCTTTAATTCTTATAATTTTATTAGGTTTTGCTTTTAATTCTTATAATTTTTTTTCAATGTTTTCAGTACCTACAAGGACTATAACCATTGAAAAAAATGAAAACTATAGGAATTTGAAAAATCAAGGTAATCTAATCTTTCTAAAATTACAGGGATTGAAAATAATAAAAAAACTACATGGATTAAAAACAAAACTTGACAAAACTATAAGAATCAAAGATTGTGTTTTCCCTAAATAATTTAGTTCCTAAATTTTAGTTCGATGTAACTTAGTCCATAAAATTTTTGATTCATCAATTGAAACTTAGTTTTCAAACTTTAACTTATTACAACTCGATCCTTATATAATTTTAACAATTTAAAACACTAATATTGAAGTTTCAAAAAATAACTCTAGTTCTTAAAGTTTTATTTTCTAAAATATAGGAAGCAATATTTTAAATGATCAAAACTATAGGGAATGAAGTCAAAGTTCAAAAATTAAGTTTTAATTGAGTTAAAGTTATAAAGATTGAGTTACAGCATCAATAAGTTACAACCAATTCAAAATTATAAGAACAAAATAATTGATTTTTCCTATACTTTATTTGGTCCTTGTTATAAGACAAATCTAATAGCTGCCTCACTAAACCAATGAAAGGTGATTAAATTATTAACTTTATCTATGAATAGATTAAAGTTCCAATTTTTGTCTATTTATGAAATGAGAAATTTTTAAATTCAAGTTAATGAATTTAAATAATAGTAATATTGAAAAAAAAAAACATAATCAATTCTTCATCAAAGACTTTCAATCCAAGTTCCACGTCAATCAGTTGCAGGAATGGGTATGTTTCCGGCAATAGCATAATAGAGTAGTTACCTGTAAATGAGAAGCCGCAAGTTGGAGCCAGCGAGGAGAAGTAGGAAACCAGAGGAGACTTTGAGGTTCATTGGGCTTGCCAGTTTCAGAGTAGAACTGTTCTGCAAAATACTCTATTTTCCCCAACAAGTTCATTCCTTTTCCTTTTCCTTTCACGTTGTACTCTCCTACATCCACTTCCCCAAAGTCGCTTGAATCTACCGTCGCGTTCGGTTTCTGTATGCATACATCTGTGATTTAGTGGGATCCACACTACACGGATAGGCAATAACAAGGAAAGCGAAGTGGGTCCATGCACGTACCAACCAATCCCAGAGGCCAGTTTGAATGAACTGCTTGGGGATGATGACATCTCCAATGGACATGGAACTGTTCGCATTTCCGGCAATCCCAAAGTGAACGATTCCACTTATGTCAAACACATCCAACATCTGCTGTGTGGCTGCTGCCGCATTCACCTGCATACATATACATGTACACATACATACATACATACATGAGAATGATGGGAAGCCAATCAATCAAATATTCAATACATAGTATACGCCATAATCAATGGGAAATCTTTGTCTTCATCTATTTGTATGGAATGTTCGATTTGTTCAACTTTGTCTAAAAGCATATATATCACCACACATTATTCAGTTATAACTAGTAACTGACAATTCTAAGCTACGTATTTAAAATATAGTTATATTTATTTTCAAGTACTTTTCAATCCTAAGAGCGATTTCTTTGCTCGTTTTATTATACAGAATTAGGGCTGTACACAGCAGAGTTGAGTCAGGCATAATCCCTACTTAGTTTAGTGTTCTACCCAAGGACCACGTGTTCGGGTTGAGTTTGGCCCGATGAACCCGAACAACTCTAGCAAGGCCGAGCATATCAGGCCATCAGCTCACTTGAATAGTGTGCTAATAGATATATATATATAACATTTGATTTTTCTTACAAAAAAAATTCAAAGAAGTGTTTGAATTAAAAATTACAAAAATCTGTGATTATGCATGCATGCATGTATGTGTGTGTATATTATTTATCAAAAAAAAAAAGGAACTACACTTGAATAACTAGAAATAATTTTTTTTCCCTTGTCCCATTCAAATATCATGAACTAACTCCGCACAACACATTTTTTTTGAGTCACATAGACACACACAAAAACAAATTGATAGCACATAATTAAATAACAAAAAATATGATCCAGTCAAATAACTATATAAATAATAAAAAAAAAGGATATGACGAGATCTAAGGTTTGTGTACCAGTCCAATCCCACATTTGACATAGATAACTTTGCTATCATGCACCTTTCCCACCCTGAATCTTCTTCCTGCATCATTGTATATCAAATACACTCTATACATGATCTTCTAATTCAAAACTTGAAACTATAAATATGTGCGACCTGCGAGATCCACAAAGGGCTGTTTGGGATCAGATTTGAAGGCTTTGGTAGCGAAGAAGGCCTTCTCCTCAGGTGCATACACTGTGATGAGGCCGATGTACGGTCCCTTTCTGTTTATCTCTTTGATCGTCGTTGACTTTCTCGATCTCTTCAGTGGTGCTGCCGGTGAATGACAAGTTGAAGAGACAAGAATGACGAAGAAGAAGACCACAGCCAAACACTGCCTTACGAGCGTCCCCGGAGCTGCAGCCATGGCTGATATATTAATTGAGTTCAGGCAAGTTGCTTCCCACCGCACATTTGGCCATCTTTTATGATCACTCCCTCTCCATATAATATTCTTTCATTTCCTTTTATTTTATTGATTCATTTTTAATCAATTTGGAATTTCGTCAGTTCATATATTGCAAGAGACACATCCGATGCAATTATTGAAGTTGGGACCACGTGATGCACATTTCAATATATTTAAACTTTTCTTGAGATTTGATCGTATCTCGTGTCGGTGAGAAACCAATTTTTTTTAAGCAAGTTGCTGCGATTATTGATCCTAGTGGATGAGTAGAATTTAAGACTCAGGACTAATATTTAATCTCAGGATATTCAACAACTATGAAGTATTAATCCTAACAATAGTGGCAAAATTAAAACTATGTCTTAGTAGATGAATATGTTTTAATTTTATATATAGTACCATGCAACGAGCATGAAAGGAGAGCCTATCCTAAAAAATTAGCTTTGTTAGGTGAAAAAGCCCTTTACATTTATAAATCTCACACTACTTGTGAAGCTTCCCGATGTGAGACTTGTGACAATGCCACCCCGTCAAAAATCGACATCCCTAACAGCTTCACTCCACGGCACTTCACTCGATCTTTTGCTAGTCAGAACCCTCTGTGGGTAACCTTTTCCATGATACCGGCCTCTTAATGAAAGCAATAATATAATGAGCACAAGTTCGAAGGAAGAATCCATCTAAAAAAACTAGCCTTATTAGGTGACAGAGCCCCTCATATTTATAAATCTCACATTACTTGTAAAGCTTCCTGATATAGAATTTATGACATACCATGTAGCAGATATTGAATAAGATAATTAACATAAAATGTGTTTTCCTGCACAAGCAATTGAAATAGAAAAATAAAATAGATTATGAATATTATAAATTCTTCAATATCTTTAAAATTGTGTTATAAACTTAAAGGTCATGCATCGTTTATATAATTTCATTTAATTATAAATTTTTTTAATTAAAAAAAGTCAAAAAATGTCTTTTGATTTTTTTTTAAAAAGGGGATGTAAAATGTCAGAAATGATCTAGTCGCTTGTATCGTTCTTATCCATGACCAATCATGATAGAGGGAAATCAACCACGTGACGTCAACGCCTCAACTTGTCAGAAGAATGTGCTCCTTTCTCTTCTCTCTCTCTCTCGCCCTTTTACCAACATTTTCCATTTCCCTCACATGGATCAATATTCAATTATGTCTTTTTAACACAATATATAGAATAAAATATCAAAGTTTTAAAAATTAAGCTGGATATTAAATCTTGGACTGATTTAAAAATTAATGATTAATGGTTCAATCAGTTTTAAAAATTAGGTTGAATAATAAATCTGACAAGAGACTGATTTAAAGGTTAATGGTTCAATCTTAATTGGATCAATTTTGATTAATTTAATATATTTTAAATTATATATATGAATCATAAGATAAATTCATCTATAATAAAAATTAATATTTAAATAAAAATTCTTATACAATGATAAGAAAATTATAAGTTGTTTACTTTTATTTAAAATAATAGTATTTTAGTATATTTCATTTTGTAAGCATAAATAATACTTCCTCTATCTCAAATTATAAAATACTTTTAAGGAAGATTCAACGTCTCAAAATAGAAGACACTTTGATAAAAATAAAATTTTATTAATGATATTTTTTTAATATTGTCCTTCCTATATATTCTCTCTCTTTAATATTTTTTTATTGATAAAGTATTAAATGAAGAGTATTTTTAAAAATTTATATTTTTATTTTAAAAAATAAGATTGTAAAGTATATTTAGTAAATTTTATTAATATATAAAGTTTTATTTAAAAATATTTTATAATTTAAAATGAAGGGAGTATTATATGAATCTATTTGGCATTGGGGACGAGGGGTAGTTAAAAAAACATCTATTTATGAATACTAAAATGTCAAATGGTGCCGTTCACGTGAAAAGAGGGAAGAAATCGTACAGCAAAAAAAAAAAAAAAAACGAAGTAAGTTGATCCGTTGGACTGGCACACGTATTCTTTCTCTGAAATGGCACATTCGTTAGCTTCTTTCGTTCCTTTCACTGTTGAATTGCAGCTTCCCTCACATCTTATCTGATGGCTTCCTCATAGATCGTGTAGTTTTATGACTGAAAAAACAATTCTAAGGTGCTTTTTTGCTACAAAATGTATTCTTATTTGTTTTTTTTAAGTCTATTTTATTCTTTTAATTTTCATCTTCTCTCTCACGCGTCACAACTCTTCCTTGTGTTCTGTGTTTTTTTTTCCCCTCAAACTCCATCTCCTGAACCATCCAAACTTATCAACCGTTTGGTTTTTGTGGTTTTTTTTTGTTTCTTGATCGATTTGATTATCCTCTTATTTCTTTTTGGTCATTCGGACCGAACTAATGATCGATTTTTAGTTCAATAAGTTGAACTGACTGATTCAGTTTAATTTTTAATACCTTAAAAAGTATAAAACAATGATCCCTTGCAACTAGAGAAAAGAATACAAGGATGGGTCAGGCTACTTGTTTAATTTTTTTTAATTTTGAAAATTGAAAAAAAATTTTATTAGTGCAATAAAATTTTTGGGCTCGAACTCAAGTTACTTGTTTAAACTTGTATTTGTTTGTTTAAAGACAAAGTGTGAAACACAAAATGCAGTTGAGTCCCTCCTTGTTACTAAGTTTAATTTAAGGAGTTGCTAAAAGAAAATTTCATTCTTAATCCTGTGATTTCTAATATGGCTAAAGGAGCAAAGGACAAATATTTGACAAGAATTTAAGTGACTACAGTGTCATCATCCTTGCACTTGGGAGGATTAAATGATATTTAATTATTTTTTGTAATTTGAACGTGTGAAAGTCTAAATGTTGCCATTTAAAACTTGAATTTACATCAATCCATTTGGATAATTAAAAATTTAAATTAAATCCTATTAATTTGGCTACATTTCACATTGCTGACAATAAATACTATTTATTAAATAGGGTAATGACTTTCTGGCCTAAACCCACAAGGATAGGGCTCATGAGGGTCAAGTCATCTATTTCCTAGCTTTATTTACAACCAAAAGCATCAATTTAATTTTGACTTGGGAATAAAAAATTTTAAAATTTCAGTAAATTTTTTCCTTACTAATCATATGAAATTATAAAACTACCTTTTTTTAATATTCATGTTAAATATTAAATAACTAGTTGTGAATTATTATAGAGTCAATTGAAAATAAATATATTTAACTAATACATGAAGGCGCGAGAATTTTACAGGGTTTTAAAAATTTAACATTATTATAAAATTTGCAACCAATTTTCCCACTTCTTAACACAAAAAATAGATCACATGATTAAATGAAAGTGCCTCTAAAGGAGTCTGAATATGCGCTAATTAAAGGAGGAGAACATTATATTATTGTAGTCAAGAACTTAACAGTGAAATGTAATGAAAATGCCTCTAAAGGAGTCTAAATATGCGCTAATTAAAGGAGGAAACATCATATTATTGTAATTAAGAATTTAACAGTGAAATGTAATGATGGTGTGAGGAAGGCAAAATCTTGAGAAGGTGAAGCAAAACTGTGACAGCATTAGTAGCAGCAAGAGCTCCAAAAGTATCAATGGCTTCGTCTCCATTTTTTCCCGCCATATCTGAGATGCCTCTTATCACTATCACTGGGAATCCATTTGATAAGCATGTCTGCAAATTAAACACATTCATTCATTCATTCATTCATTCATTCATCACTTTTTACTTAATTAAGAGACTCAATTATCATGCATCAGAGTGGCTGATTAAGAAGACTGACCATCACTACTGGGAAACTCTCCATATCAACAGAAGAAACTTGAAATGTTTGGAACAGAAAATCTCTGTAAGCTTCGTTGTCCACGTAGATGTCGGCTGATGTGCCATTCACACCAATTACTAACTTGGGATCATGTGGCAGACAAAAGCTCGAGTTTATACATTGTTCTAGTTGTATCCCCTGTCACAAAAGTTTCGGTGAGTTGAATCTCAATAAAACTAAATTAAGTCTAATGACTCAAAGTCAAAAGTCTCAGGCACTTAGCGCCTGCTGGTAGGATTGATTCATTCTATTGCAAGCAAAGCGATTCAATTTAGATCTTTATGAGTTGAAGACAGGAAATGGGACTTAAAAGGTACTTATAGATTACACACTAATAAATTGCCACAGATACAAACCTTTATTATATAAATTTTCTTTACAAGTATGTTTATTTTTATTTGTAACAATTATGAAAATTAATTTTGGCCCTCACTTTCTTGTGATCTTTCATTTTTGGCCTCCTCTTGTATCAACTTCTAAATACGTGCATCACATTAACAGTAGAATTCGAACCTTGCTCTCATAGGATATGTGTGCCGATTCATTACTAATAAAATTTAAAAGTAGAATATTGTTTTGTTAGAATGAAAAGATAAACTAACCTCCAAAGTAGCAGCAAGTTGAAGCCATTGAGAAGTAACCTTTGCCCAGATCAAACGCTGTGATAAGTTAGGTTTTCCAGTGACAGAAAAGAATTCTTCAGAACTGTAACCAACTCGTCCCAACAAATTTTTGCCTTTCGGCACATTGAAGTTTCCAAAATCCAAGCGAGCAAAGTCACTGCTTTCAAGTGTCCCGTTCGGTTTCTGCCATTATTAAACACATACATAAATTCAATTCGAACTTGAAAGAGAGCAAAATAATTATGAAGAGAATTGAAGTACCAGCCAGTCCCATAAGCCAGTATGGATGAATTGTTTGGGAATGGTGACATCTCCAAAGGAAATGGAGTCATTTGCACTACCAGCAATTCCAAAATGGAGAATTCCAATTACGTCAAACACATCAATCATCTGTTGTGTCACTGCTGCTGCATTCAGCTGTAATGGTGAAGCCAACACTAAACTCGCTTAGAGTTTTGAAAATATTGCATAAATAATCTCAATCCTCGTTAGGATTTCAGGAATGAATTAGATAAAAAGGTAGAAGAAAAGGGAAGAACGACATTTAATAACCTCTAAAAATATTATGTAAAGTTAAAAATCCTGAAATTTTGAAATTCAAAAAGGGATCGTAGTCTTCAATTGGAATTAAATTTTTTCTTATATTATTTCTTTCAGTATTCATCTTCCACATTTTCAATATTTATATTTTACATTTCTAGTACTTGATTTTTTTTCTTCAAATTTTTAGTAGTCATATCAAATGTTTTTAATACACATCTTCCATGTTTTCGATATCGATATCATGAAAGATTATTATTGAAAATATCTAAAGTGACTACGTTCAGTATTGAAAATACTAGAAATAACCACTGAACATGTGAAAGATGAGTATTGATACTTCATCAGATTGTTAAGGCAATATTAACTGCAAAAGAGAAAGAACTGATGAATAAGCAATTCATGTGTACGTACCATTCCTACTCCACACCTCACAAATATAACTTTCTTATCGAAGATCTTCCCCACCCAGTATAGCCTCCCTGCAACCAACATTTTCAACACAAACTAGAACATAAGCTTCTTAACTACATGGAAACATATTCACAAAAGTAAGGAAAGAATGACAGCTGAGGACCTCATAATAAAATTAATACCTCTATCAAAAAAAAAAAAAACAAATCAGGATGTCATCATAACTTTGGTTTCCAAACTTCAAAAAGATCCTGATTCGGCATTAATCTTTTAAGGAGATCCTTAGTTGTCATTATATGCCTGTTATATAGAAGATGAACCTGAGAGTTCCACAAAAGGGTGTTTTGGATCGGGTTTGAATGCCTTGGAAGCGAAGAAAGCGATCTCCTCAGGTGGGTAAGCCGCTATGATACCAAAGTATGGCCCTTTCAGTTTCAGTTCCTTCATCACTTGCACTGCCTTGCTTCTGCATAACGATACTGCAAATTCTGCTGTCAAACTCAACAGCAAAATTACCAATATTCTTGTACCCATGCTTGTTGAGCTTCACAGTTCTCGTTAACAGGCATGTCTCTTTACTCAGTTTAGTTAGCTCATGTTTTATAGACTGCGTCTGCCTCTTAGCTCACTTAACTTTCTCTCTCAAACTGATATCTGATTATGGTATGGAACAGTACTACCTATAAGTCAACTAACCAAACATGAAAGCTTTTGTCACTTAAGTTAAAAATCAAGATATGGAAATTTCAACGTTTACAAGGAATTGATTTATCTGAACGTGGAATTTACTCGTGATTTATTTTTAAAGAATTTTTTTTCCTGAATCCATTCACGAGAAGTCAATAGTCTGTTGAAAGTTTGATTGAAGGGCACGTGAGAGGGGTAAGTAGATATATGAATGTCAATGGGGCCCATGAATTCAAATCTCTCATCCCCTTCTCAGAGAGTGAGCCCCATGTATATGGTCTTTAGTTGTGTGGTAAAATTATTTTTATATCATGAATTATTCCTCCTTTGGGATAAACTTTTCCTAACGGCAGAAACAAATCCAGCTTCTCCATTTCCCACCACATTTATTTATTTAAAACAATACGGAATTGCCAGATACTTTACCTACATTATTATATCTACAATTTTCCAAGTGCAAGATCTAGTTATTGATTTCCACAGTTCAGGACGTCTTTGCTGTCTGACAAGGGTTTAAGCAAAGCAGCCAGAGATAGAGAAATTCATACCATATATAAAACAAAACTGGTGTCATCTTTGAGCTCGTGGTATAAGTTTATGAATTTAAGTTCTAATACAAATAAATGATTCCATCCTCTTAACATGGCCTAGATTTGGTATTTTTCACATTTTACATGTCATCCCATAGAAGCATGAAGGGGGCTGGATAAGTAACCATGAGCCCGGGTTGTGAGAAATTAGCTTAAACCAGTTTTGGAAAGCTAATCTGCAACTTCATTTTTCTATCAATGAATGTATCAGAAGGTTATGAGTTGATTAGTCCCCTCATCCTGAACAGTAACAGGCACAGGATACCCAAGATAATGTTGTCAGAAACAGTTTCATCGGTTTTGAAGCCCTTCAATTGCCTTCTTCCACTGCCATGCTCTTTGTTTTGCATCTTCAAATGACATTACTTTCTTTGGCTGCATTGTTTAATCAAAAGAAATCACAGATCATGACAATTTTAAGAGGTCAAAACGAAATCTAACAGGAAGGGCATTACAAGTTCCGGAAAACCCTTCAACATAGCTCTCCTCTTCATGAAGTTTAGACTTACATATGACATTGTAATGTGGGAGAAATACTCACGGCCAAATTATTTTGACGTCACATACCATGACCATTTGGTAAGAAGTAAGGTGTCGCTTGGTTGCCAGAAATGATGGGTATAGAATGGATTAAAGAAACAAGAATAAAAATGAACTAAATTACCCTCCCCCTCATGGTAAGCATAAAACTCAATATTATATACCACAAATGTAAAAATCACTCATGACTCTCAATCTCAAACTAAATTAGCCTCCTCCCATAGACATAATTGACTTATCTCCCCTCCATGTCTTGATCATTCCATTTTTATTTTTATTTCTTTAATCCATTTCACTCCCTTCCTTTCCAACAACCAAACGGTTTCTAAGTAACAAATTATAAGCCCTCCAGCATTAAGTCTCAGGCATTCCAGTATAATGATACTTCTGAATCCAACACTCCCCACATTCAGTTGGACGAATTCAACAATTATCACACACAAAGTAAAATAAAATATAGTGTGAATCATGCCTTAAAAGACACTGGTGTCTGAGAACGGCTTGATAACCCGGTTCTTAATTTATCTGATTTTTATTTCAAAAGTAAAGAAATAAGGAGTTTTGAAACGCCAAATATCTAATCTACCCACCATCTAAAACCTATCTTCTAAATTAAAGTTTTGTATGTTGGAAAGACTATAGCAGAGCCATGTATATCAATAACAATAATGCAGCATATTACTCAATGTCAAATATAATATGAAAATTAATTTATGTATTTATGCGTATTGTACATACCAGTTTATATCACTTACCTGACCAAAATATATAAATACACAAGCGCATGCCTCGTGATAATGTAGGCCTTTGCTTTACCATGTTATCATCATCTACTTACATTTGAACTAACCAACACACACACACACACACACACACAAACTCCAAAAATTATACATTGAAGAAAAATAACTAGCGATTTAATTCAATGCAACCAAATCAAATGCCATCACAACTGGAATTTAGGATTTATGTGGTACGCCCAAGTTCTAGTAAGACTCAGATTAAATAACAACCAAATCTATGTCTAGACCCAAAGGAATAATTTGTTTCTTAAAGGCAAGATTTCTACATGAGTTAAGACATTTTCCAACAAAAAGACCAAAATCCTCATGAACCTATTAGCTATTACCGGTGTTTCAATCCGAGTTCAATTTGTGAGGGCTCAAAAAGAACGCAGGGAAAAGGTGAAAACAGTTGACCAGGTAGCATTATAGCCTCTTCTATTGCTTGCATATACATTAAATCTCAAATTAAATATTTACTTAAAAGATTATACATATTGTCCATAGTCACGTTGAACTTGGGGTCTTCTTTTTTACCATCAATACACACAGCTTACGGTAAATGTAATCTGAAAATATTATAACAATATAAATATAGAGAACAGGAACTTACTGTGCAAATCTTAAAATGTGAAGGACTAGTCACTTGGACAGAAAGTTCACTTGGATTATCAGACCATAACATATTTCCCTTTACAATTAGCTTTGATGGGTCAACGTAGATCAACTTTGGCTTATTTGTAAGGATGAGCTGAACCTTCTTGCTTGTCAGTTTCTGTAGTTTCTTCACATTTGAAATCATAAGAACAGATTCCCCAGGTTCCAAAAACTGTTGCCTGTAAGAGAAGAAGCACTGATTTTGATTTTTAGTTTGCTTCTACATAAAATGCACAAATTAATGAAAAACCAAACAATAAGAGAACTCTTACAGAGATTAATTAATATCAAAAGCAATATGAGGGCAAAATGAAATCATAACGATATAAATTTCTTCATTGGATGTGCAAGATAAAGGAAAACATGGCACCATTATGTTTTAGAATCCTACAGTACAGGAACATATTGAGACTTTTTCTGACGATGTTAATTTTTGTGTTTTAGTGAGACATGGATGACACCGTATACAGACTCCACACAAACAAAGGAAGATGATGATTTACCATTTTGAATCGAAAGAATCAATTGAAGCTAGCCTGGTCACATGAGCAGTCCCATCAGGAGGAGCAGCAATGGTATTTCCATCAGATTTAGCAGAACCATCCTGAGGATTAAATGGGGAATCATGATGTTCAGGAGAATGACCCTAATTGTGAAAGTGAGATGATGAAAAAGAGAAGGTTGCCTATTCTCCCAAAGTAACATTTAAAAGCGGAGTGAGAATCAAACCCCTGCTTCTGGAGAAAGTTTTGGGGGGTTTTGATCCCTTATGTTTTTCCAGTTTACTCCCTTGAAGAAAGGATGCATTTTCAGAACAGCATAACCATCAGGTCCTGCACCTGGTCTCCTCATTGGGTTCAAATCCTGTACCATAATAGCATTACTGTTTTAAAGAAATATTATTTATATCATGCTTGGTTATAGGGTAAACTACTCTTCCATTACCTGAGAAATGCATGAATTACACAATCATCTCTACTATGAAAATATACGCAAACCTCGCTAAAAGCAGAAATATGACCAATATACCATCAGGGGTAATATTGATTTCTTTTACTAAAATTTATTATAAACATTTCTCATTTTTTTAAAACTTAAAATTTTATTTTAAATGATGTTTATGTTGTGTTAAAAATTAGTAATTTATTCTAAATTTAACAAGGTTATTATTTTACATTTGTTAAATCTATTTTGATGCTTATTATATTATATAAATAATGATATTTGGACAAAATAGGTGCATTTCTAGCAAGGGACTTCAATGTTGCATCTTTTAAATTTAAAGGCGGGAAGCATAAATGTTCAAAATAAAGGTCACTTAATTCGGACATCTTTCATTAAAAACATAAAAAGGAGTCATTTACTTTCAATTACAACTAAAGCATAATCTTTTGAATTATGAATTTCACTCATTCAATGCCATTACATCTTTTAGAGCTCTTTTATCATATGCATAGATGCTGAGCAACATTTTGAAACTCTGAACAACTTTATTTAATACATTTTCGGAGTCCAACAACTTCAAAGAGAATAAAGAAAAACCAAGCATATTCACTTTAGGAATCTTCCACAGCAAATGCAGCTGGAAACTCACTTTTGTACCTGTGTAACCCTTGATATTCCATAAGGTCATATAAAGATCTCAAGTGGCTTCCAAAATTTTCTAATTAGCTGTGATTAGAATCTATTATTGGATGCAAAGGTTAGTTTCAGAAGTAGCATATTGAGACCAAGATTTAGAAGTAGGATGAATTCAACTTTTCAAAAAAGATATATATTGGTTTTGGAAATGGAAGGAGGTCAAGTATCCATCTCTTTAACTTATAAAAGCTATACTTGGGGAAAGTACACTGATCTCTGAAGGCTCTCCTTTACATGAAGCAACTCATCTTTTGCTGCCTTCAAATTGTCAAAGGAAAAATTCTTTGGGAAAATAGCAATGAAGGACAGCTAAAGGAAATTTAAATCAATCAAGGATTAGTTGTTATTAAAATCCAAATGAAAAAAAGCACAAATGGACTTGTTAATTTAGAATTAGTTGTTGTTAAAACCCGAATAGATACTTATTGATAAAAGACTAACTTGAATCAACAAGTATCCATTTTAGTTTTGACAACAAGTGATCTTGACTAAAGTAAATTTTCTCCAGCGATCTTTGATTGATATTTTCCCAAATTCTTTCTAGCTAGCATTGCCATCATGGCAACATGTTATCCTGTTTCGCAACAGTATGCTCTGTTGTAGGCAAAAGATAAAATACATTAACTCTGGATTATACTGTCCTTTATTCTTTTAATTTCTCATTTTCAAGAGCAGCTACGTAAAATCACAAATGTGGATAAAACAAGAAGTGATTCCTGCATGCAAATCAAAAAAATACTAACCAGTAAACGGTCAATAAGGTCAATTGCTTCCTCAGAAAAGTAATCTGGAAATCTAAGATCTCTGGCTATAATTCTTTGGAAAATAAGCCATTCACTAGCATCTTTAAATGGAGAAGTTCCAGAGAGCATTTGATATAATGTGCATCCAAGAGCCCAGAGGTCATTCCTGTAGTTAAATATTGAAAGAAATAAAACAAAGGAAAAATAAGGATTATTGTGTGGTAGCCAGGCATGAAACAAAAAGCAATAAAGCTACCCAGTGCGAAGACTCTAAAAAGCAACTGAAGTGCCAGAAATAAACCTCAATTCAGAAAAGATAATGAAATCTGTAAATAATGTAATAATACTATCAAAACAACATGCAAGTCATTTATAGTCCAGGATAGTTAAGTCCCTACCCAAAAGTGGCTGGAGAAGAATTAAGAACCTCTG